GGCTCTTCTCCCAAGAGCCACTATAGCCAAAGGAGAGGAGAGTGGCCCTGTTGTGCCCAGTAGTCAGCACCCTGTGTCTACACTGTCCCCAGCACTGCTGCCAGCCATGGTGTCTCCTGTCTCATGTCGTACAGCCCGGCTGGTGGTGGGGCTGAGTACAGCGCAGCGATGATCCCAGGAGAAGCACTTGTCATAGACTACTGGCTCCCAGGTGCTACAGGACAACACTCCTCTCCACTGGCTGCAGTGGCTCTTAGGAGTAGAGTCCTGTGGATCCCTATGTCTATCCACAGATCTGCATCCATGAGTAGACATTTTTATCTGTTCAGGGCTCTAGTAATTAGCGGAGGAATTTAGCACAGTACAGAGCAGGGCAAGGAAAGTGAGATGGGAGAATTAAGTTAAGGGCTGTCCAGTAGACAGTAAATCATTCAGTTTTTGCTTGTCCAGAACAGACTTTTGATTGCTCCAGTTTTTGGCCATTAGAATTTTTCTTGGCCTGTAGTGATTACTATTTGATAGTTAGAGGAGCTATATAAAGTCTGTGGCCACATAAGAGCCTCCACAACAGCTAAAGACTGGACACAAAAACTAAGAACTTATTCTAGAGTCTGTCCTTCCAGAATATGGTCAAGGCACACTCAGGGAAGCATGCAATATTATTGCTGAATTCTGTCTGAGGCTAGAGCATTCTTCAGCGGTGTTAATCTAGCATTTTTCATAAGCACTGGGACACCTGCGTATGGAAGGCCAAGAGCAAACATGACATTGTAGGTGGGTAGAAGAATGACAAGAAGAGAGCTTCTGTCAAAGCATTATTTTTAAACTCAGGAGTGACCCTTTAACTACAGGACAGTACTACAGGACCAGTCCGAACTTTTCATAACTGTTGAAATAGGGCGGAACTGGTTTCGCTCTTCCTGGAGCTCATCAGCTGTAGGTAACTGGTTTAATATAATTGGCCACACTCTCTGCCGATTCACCTCCATGCAGTTGCATGCAGAATTTGGGAAGGTACTGGTAAAAATTGGGTCTGGTAAATACTGTAATATCTAGGGATGTTAACATGCATTTATTTGTGTAAATGTGTAACTGATGACATTTTTAGGGGTTACAAGTTCACATGAGAGGGAGAGGGGGAAATGGGAACCAGTGCTGCCAGGGAGCTTAAAAGTCAGTTCCCCACTCCCCCGGCCTCTGATACAGAGGCAGCTGGGAGAAGGGAGGGATGTACGCATGTAGCAATGAGCGTTAACCAATGAGCCCAGGCTCATCGGTTAACCTTGTACTTGGTTACACGTTTACATACCTAGTAAAACCATGGTTACTACCACCCTTGAAAATAATAGTTAGAAAATGTTTTAAACTACAACTATTTCAAAAACTGTTTCATTAATGCACATGCTTCATTAAGTTTTAGTTATATATTCAAATTGTGGTTATATAAGGTAGTAGATTCATCTCTCTTTACATATAAAAGTTTTTTTCCTGAGGGATGACAGCATGATGTCATCATGTCATTCTGTCTGCTGCCTCCTGCCCTCAGCCGCCCAGCTTTCTCCCTCCCTGACCCCTCCCCCAATGCCGCAGGTCCTCCCCATCATGGGGGATGGGGGCAGGAGCTGTGCGCCCTCCCCCCTCCTGGGAGGGCTGGAGCTGTGTGGCCTCCCTCCCCAGTGCTGGGAGTGGAGGGGGAGCCGTTTTGGGAGGGAGGGAGCCGTGAGCTTTCCCCCCTCTCCGCCCCTTCAGCCCTGTCTCTCACACTCTCGGCTGAGACCCCACATTACCAACCCCCTCACACACACCTTTGGCCAAGACCCTGCATCTCCAGCCCACTCACTCATACTCCCCCCAAACTGTGTGGCCTCCCTCCCCAGTGCTGGGAGTGGAGGGGGAGCCGTTTTGGGAGGGAGGGAGCCGTGAGCTTTCCCCCCTCTCCGCCCCTTCAGCCCTGTCTCTCACACTCTCGGCTGAGACCCCACATTACCAACCCCCTCACACACACCTTTGGCCAAGACCCTGCATCTCCAGCCCACTCACTCATACTCCCCCCAAACTG